TCACAAAAAGCAACGTCTGTGGGCTCAGATCCTTCCCAGCTCATGCCAGCCATTGTAGGCCCAATCTTTTCTCCAGCCAAAGTTCTGTAGGCCCGCCTTCTGCCTCCCAGTGGCCTGCACAGACCCAGCGCCTGCTGGAGAACAGCCTCTGAGGACCCTGCGCTTGCCTCCCTGGGGCCTCTCCAGGCCCGGCTCTCGCCTCCCGGCGACTTGCCAGGGCCACATTCCTGCCTGTCTGCCTACCGGCAGCCTCGACAGGCCTAGCTCCTCCCACACCATGGCCTGTTTTGGCCCAACTCATGCCTCTCATGGCCCACCCAGAAGTGTGAGCTCCTGCCTCACACTCGCCCCTCTGGGCCGAGGTCGTCCGTCATGCCAGCCCATTGGGGCCCATCTCATGCCTCTCATGGCCTCACCAGGCCCAGCCCCTGCCTGTGGGCAGCCTCTCCAGGGCCAGCCTCTACCTCGCAGTGGGCCCTCTCCGGGCCCGCCTCTTGACTCGTTGTGGCCCCTTGGGCCAAGCGCCCTCTGCAGGCCCCCACATCGTCCTGAAGGCCTCTCCAGACCCAGCTCCGGCCTCTTGGTGGCCTCTCCAGGCACAACATGGGACCTCAAGTGGGCCCCTCCAGGGTCAGCTCCTGCCTCCCATAGGCCTATAGAGGCCCATTCTCAGCCTCCCTCGTGGCAGCCTCTCCAGGCCCAGCCCTTCCCCTTCCTCATGGCTGCATGGACAGGCCCGACTGCTGCCTCACAACAAGCAATCTCTGTGGGCTCAGCTCCTGCCCAGCTCCCTCCAGCCTTTGTAGGCTCAAACCCTTCTCCAGCCAGCACTCTGTAGGCCCACCTTCTGCCTCTGGGTGCCCTGCACCGACCCAGCTCCGGCTGCTCACAGCGGTTTTCCCGGGTTCAGGTTTCTGCCTGCGTGCCTCTCAGCAGCCCCGACACGCCCAGCTCCTCCCACACCGTGGCCTGTTTCAGCCCAACTCATGCCTCTTGCGGCCTGCCCAGAGGTGTGAGCTCCTGCCTCACACTGGCCTCTGTAGGCCAAGATCCTCCCTCACACCAGCCCAGTGGGGCCCAGCTCATGCCTCTCGTGGCCTCTCCAGGCCCAGCCGCTGTGAGCGGCCTCTCCAGGCCCAGCCTCTACCTCGCAGTGGGCCCTCTTTGGGACAAACTCCAGCCCTTCCGCGGCCTCTGCAGACACAGCTCCTGCCTCCCAGTGGCCTCCGTAGGCCATGTTCATGCCTCGACGGCGGCCTTTCCATGCCTAGCCTTTCCTGCCTTCCATACTCTCCAGGCCCTGCACTTCCTCCAGTCAGCCTCTCCAGGTCCGGCTCTTCCTCCTGGTGGCCTGTGCAGCCCCAAGTCACCCTCAAGACGGCCCTCCCGGCCCAGCTCTCACCTCTCAGTGGCCTCTCCATGTGCACAACTTCCTCCCATCAGCCTCTCCAGGCCCAGCTCTTCCTGCCTCCTGATGGCCTCTTTAGGCCCAGCCTAGCTTGTGCCTCTCGACAGCCTTCCCAGGCCCCGCTTCTGACTTTTGGTGGCCTCCCCAGGCCCAGAATTTGACCTCCAGTCTGCCTCTACGGGTCCAGCCTCCTGCATCCCCATGGCCTGTATACAGGCCCAGCCTCTGCCTCACAGTGGACTCTCCTACACCCAGGCTGTAGCCTCACTGTGGCCACCCCAGTCCGAAGCTCCTGCCTTCTGGCATCTTCGACAGGCCCCGCTCCTTCTCCCGATGGCCTCCTCAAGCCCAGCTCAACCATCACAAGAGCCTTACAGGCCCAGTTTGTCTCCTTTGGCAGCCTCTCCAGGCCTGGAAGCTCCTCAAGTCGGCCGCTTCAGACCCGGCTACAGGCTCCCAGTGTCCTCTCCAGGTCCAGCACTTCCTCCCGGCTGACTCTACAGGCCCAACTTCTGCCTCAGAGCAATCTTTGGACTCAGCTCCCGCCCAGCTCCTGGCAGCCTTTGTAGGCCCAAAACTTCCTCTAGCCAAGCTCTCCAGGCCCAGCTCAGGCCTTACAGTGGCATCTCCAGGAGGCTCAGCTCCTGCCCTCCGCCGGAGTTTCAAGGCCCCCAAACTTCCTCCAGGCGACTCCTCTAGGCCCAGCTGGGGCCTCCTGGCGGACTCTGAAGGCCCCCACATCATCCTGAAGTCGGCCTCTCCAGTCCCAGCTCCGGACTCCTGGCTGCCTCTCCAGGTGCGTCACGGGGCCCCAAGTGGGCCCCTCCAGGGCCAGCCAATGCCTCCCATTGGCCTGTAGAGGCCCATTCTTGGCCTCCCTCATGGCGGCCTCTCTAGGCCCAGCCCTTCCCCTTCCTGTTGGTTGCATCAACAGGCACAACTCCCACCTCACAACAAGCAACCTCTGTGGGTTCAGCTTCTGTCCAGCTCCTGCTAGGCTTCGTAGGCCCAAACATTTCTCCAGCCAGAGCTTTGTAGGCTAACCTTCTGCTACCCGGTGGCCTGCACAGACCCAGGTCCGGCTGGAGAACAGCCTCTGAGGGCTCCACGATTGCCCCCCAGGGGCCTCTCCAGGCCTGGCTCTTGCCCCACAGTGGCCTCCCGGGGCCAGGTTCCTGCCTGCCTGCCTCAAGGCAGCCTCAATAGGCCCAGCTCCTCCCACACCATGGCCATATTCTGCCCAACTCATGCCTCTCCCGGCCCACCCAGAGGTGTGAGATCCTGCCTCACACTGGCCTGTCTGGACCAAGGTCCTCCCTCACACCGGCCCATTGGGGCCCAGCTCATGCCTCTTGTGGCTCTCCAGGCCCAGCAGCTGCCTGTGGGCAGCATCTCCAGGCCCAGCCTCTACCACGCAGTGGGCCATCTCCAGGCCCGCCTATAGCCTCGCCGTGGCCCCCTTGGGCCAAGCTTCTGCCCTTCGGTGGGCTCTGCAGGCCCAGCTCCTGCCTCCCAGTGGCATCCATAGGGCAAGCTCATGCCTCGATGGTGGCCTTTCCAGGCCTAGCATTTCCTGCTTTGCATCCTCTCCAGGCCCTGCACTTCCTCTAGA